GCAGTACCCGGATCCCCATACATGTCCCCTGGGGAAGTACCCAGACCCCATACATGTCCCCTAGGGCAGTACCCGGATCCCCATACATGTCCCCTAGGGCAGTACCCGGATCCCCATACATGTCCCCCAGTGCAGTACCCGAATCCCCATACATGTCCCCCAGGGCAGTACCCGGATCCCCATACATGTCCCCCTGGGAAGTACCCGGACCCCCATACATGTCCCCCAGGGCAGTACCCGGATCCCCATACATGTCCCCCAGGGCAGCACCCGGATCCCCATACATGTCCCCCAGGGCAGTACCCGGATCCCCATACATGTCCCCCAGGGCAGTACCTGGAACCCCATACATGTCCCCCAGGGCAGTACCTGGAACCCCATACACCTTTTTATGGCCAATAACTTGCATGTAAGGCTTCAAAATGGGGTCATTTGATTTTCACAGTTCTACCGTCCCATAGAGTTTCATCGAGTTCGAGTTCAAATGCAAACTTTTACCATGTTCTAAAGTTTCAAAGTGATAAATGGTACTCACAAAAGAGGTGGATAAAAAGCGTGTTGGACATGTATTATGGAATGTCCGCGGTCGAACAAACCACACCCCTGCAAATATGCTGCTAGACCAGCAGAAACAAGCAGGCCCAGCTGAACGTGTTATTCGGGAAGTTTCCACTTCCTCAGAGCTGGCTCAGCTTGTTTCTGCTGGTCTAGCAGCATATTTGGATTGTTTTCTCTGACCGCTAGGAATCTGCGTGCATCCCGAGATTTATGTCCAACACGCTTTTTATCCACCTCTTTTGTGAGTACCATTTATCACTTTTAATCTTTCTAAACAAAAAAAAAAGGATTATTTGCGCCAGGAAAGGCGCCCGGTGTTTCTTTTTTATGTTTCACGCGGTGTAATCCCTCATCTGTAACGGGGCGGCCTGCCTGGAACACAAGATTCAATTTGTGGCTGAAAGGAGAACTATGGGGTCAGTGTTTTTCCCCATAGCTCTCCTAAGGGTAATGGAAGGACACAAACTAGCGTCCTCCCGTCACCCTAGGCTCAGTATATCGCAAACTACAGCTCGCGGTAAACTGAGACGCCGCAGCCGGAGCAGATCCCGACTTAGACGTCGGGATCCGCCCAGCTGCGTTAGTGACAGCTGGCTCTGCCTATCTAGAGGCAGAGCCAGCTGTACCCGCCCCTCCCCCGTCCGTTCCGACAGTCAGCGCTGGAAGATCGGATCGGGGAGTGGGGAATCCAGCCCCTCCCCTCTCACGGCAGAGAGCCGTGACAGGATCGAGAGGTGAGCGAACGCCGGTATGTGTTCGCTCACCTCCCGATCTACTGAGCCGACCTGTGACAGTCTCATTGTCACAGGTCGGCTAGAACTATGAGGTGAGTGAAAATCACTCATCTCATAGTTCTCCTTGAAGGAGGTTCCTATCTGGCGCTGGTTTGGCTTTTTGTGTCTTATTAGGACTACAACCTGTGTCACCAACAAATTTGATTACTTATTTTGTTTTTATGATTGGGGGGGGGAGGGGATTATTGGTGTGTCACTCTACAAGGAAAGGATGGACACCGGCACTCCAAAGCAAGTTCAGTACGTGTTTATCACTTGTTTGCCTGATGAAGGGGATCATGTGAGACCGCGAAACGTTGTATAGAGTGTTCTACTTGCAACTAGTACGTTAATAAACCCGTACTGAACTTGCTTTGGAGTGCCGGTGTCCATCCTTCACTTATATTTTGTCGGAAGCCACCCGCTGACACCCACCCCCCATTTTGGGAGCAGCGGCTCTGAGTGCGATGGGTACACGGACTGTTACTCTACAAGAAGACACGCCTGTGGCTGGCAGAGTCTTGCAATGCCTGGTGGGACTTGTAGTTCCACCAGGGCTGAGGTTGGCTAACTCCCCCCGATCTAAGGGGAGAGATGATGGAAAGATGGCAGACGATCTACAGAAGCAGAATCATAGAACGCGGCGGACAGAGGCATTATTATTATACAGGATTTATATGGCGCCAACAGTTTGCGCAGCGCTTTACAATATAAGGAAGACATTAAAATCACAATACAATTCAAGACAAGATGGTAAGGAGGGCCCTGCCCCTGAGGGCTTACAATCTAAAAGAGGAGGGGCCAGTGATACATGAGGAGGTAGCTGTGTGGGGGATGAATTGTTTGAGGATGTGATGGTTGAGTGGTTAGGTTGAGGTGGGATCGGCTTCCCTGAAGAGACGAGTCTCCAGGGATCACCTTAAGGCAGTCAAGGTGGGAGATAGACGGACAGGTTGGGGTAAAGAGTTCCAGAGGATGGGAGAGACTCTATAGAAGTCCTGGAGGCGAGCGTGGGAGGAGTTGACGAGGGGACTGGAAAGCAGGAGGTCTTGGGATGAGCGGTGGGGACGGTTAGGGTGATACTTTGAGACAAGGTTGGAGATATAGACGGGGCCAGAGTTGTGGACGGCTTTGTAAGCGATTGTTAATATTTTGAATTTCATCCTTTACCTTACCTGTAAGTAGATTGTCAGCTCCTGTGTCTCAGCTCCCGGGTGGCTGTGTGCTCAGTAGTGACAGATCTGGAAGTCAGTCTGTGTATTGCTCTCCTCTGACCACTCCCCATACCACTAACCCTCTCATTTCCTCATCCCATTGTCCCCTCTATAGAAGGAGGAGGCTGCGGGCGTTGCACTTGACACATTGCAGGAGCACTGCGGAAAGGTTTTATCATTTTGCAACAACGCGACGACTTCATTAACATAATAAGATCACGACATAAAACAACCAGAATTTCGCAACCGGAGCCGGCTCAGTCACAGTACCGATGCCAAAAAAAAAATAACGTCCTTGGACAGCGCTGCTGCTAATGAACGTTCGATCGTTGCCGAAACTAAACTTTTCCTCCTGAAGTGAAACCATAGAAACAAAAAAGAAACAATTACATAGAGGGATTCACAGATCCCATTTTTTCCAGACCGATGCTTCTCCTCAAGTACTCGCCAATACCAATCACTGATACCTTTCTGTTACTGTCATGTGACCGTTTTTCTAAAACAATACAGACTAATGATTTGTCTGCGCCCCTGGTAGTTCTGCCACTGACTCCAAGCTGTAGAGGGACTGAAAATCCCAGCAATACATTATACATCAGTGGAGAATAATATTCTAGGGTCTCAGGTGGCTCTGCAGGGGTCTCAGGTGGCTGTGCGGGGTCTATGGTGGGCTGTGCAGAGTCTATGGTGGGCTGTGCGGGGTCTATGGTGGGCTGTGCGGGGTCTATGGGGGGCTGTGCGGGGTCTATGGTGGTCTATGGTGGGCTGTGCGGGGTCTATGGTGAGCTGTGCGGGGTCTATGGTGGGCTGTGCGGGGTCTCAGGTGGTTGTGCGGGGTCTATGGGGGGCTCTCCTCCAGGTGCTCTCCTCCCGGCTCTCTCCTCCAGGTGCTCTCCTCCCGGCTCTCTCCTCCAGGTGCTCTCCTCCCGGCTCTCTCCTCCAGGTGCTCTCCTCCCGGCTCTCTCCTCCAGGTGCTCTCCTCCCGGCTCTCTCCTCCAGGTGCTCTCCTCCCGGCTCTCTCCTCCAGGTGCTCTCCTCCCGGCTCTCTCCTCCAGGTGCTCTCCTCCCGGCTCTCTCCTCCAGGTGCTCTCCTCCCGGCTCTCTCCTCCAGGTGCTCTCCTCCCGGCTCTCTCCTCCAGGTGCTCTCCTCCCGGCTCTGTCCTCCAGGTGCTCTCCTCCCGGCTCTCTCCTCCAGGTGCTCTCCTCCCGGCTCTCTCCTCCAGGTGCTCTCCTCCCGGCTCTCTCCTCCAGGTGCTCTCCTCCCGGCTCTCTCCTCCAGGTGCTCTCCTCCCGGCTCTCTCCTCCAGGTGCTCTCCTCCCGGCTCTCTCCTCCAGGTGCTCTCCTCCCGGCTCTCTCCTCCAGGTGCTCTCCTCCCGGCTCTCTCCTCCAGGTGCTCTCCTCCCGGCTCTGTCCTCCAGGTGCTCTCCTCCCGGCTCTCTCCTCCAGGTGCTCTCCTCCCGGCTCTCTCCTCCAGGTGCTCTCTTCTTGGCTCTCTCCTCCCGGTCCTCTGTCCACCCAGCAACCCACAGTAACCACAATCCTTATCCAGAGTCTCCGGGCCGAATCCGGAGAGTTCCCGCCTGTGATAGGGAGCACAGGCTCTGACAGAGTACAATGGGGGAGGGGGGTGAACAGCGCTCCTATCCCAGTACAACTCATCGGCTCAACCAATCCACGGGGAGCGGATGTTCACCACAGCCAATCCCGGATCTGGCAGATCGATCAGCCCGCCCACCATCAGCTTCACATCCTCCTATAACATAATACTAGTTATATGGTCGCCATCTCTAATAGTCTCTGGTACCATGGGCAATTTTTAAAGCACTTTTATAACCCGCAGGCTGTCTCTTGTGACATGTCCTCCAGAACAGTCTCTTGTATAACCCTGGCAGCCTTCATCTGCATCTTTTATATTTTTGGCAGTCTCTTATAGTCTCTTGTAACCCATGAAAGCCTCTAATAGTCACTGATAACATGTGGACAGTCTGTATTCTGCTGCCGCGAGCTTGTTCACCTTTTGACTCCAGACTGAGGCCATACAGTACAAGTGACTGTTAAAGCGCCCCATCAATTCTACATGCTGGGAAAGGCCCCAGGCCTACAAGAGGAGGGGTATCAACCACCTCTGACAAGCCATCCACCGCAGCTGTTCACATTTATTCATTTCTATATCACACACAATTATTTCTGTCATCTTTGTGCTTCCTGAGGGCTGTGCCAGTGACAGGTCCTCTTCACTCTCACTACAAGGGCCTTTAAATGTCACACGACAGCCACTGTCACATGATCATTAGACGTCACTGCGTGGCGCGTACCAGGAACCAAAATGGCCGCCGACACCCACCCGGCACAGCGCTGGTGACGTAAACTGAGTAGAAATGACGACAGGAGAGGGCAGCTCTGCCCACACATAAGATGGCCGCTGTGACTAAGTGACGCTTGTGTTGAAGAGAGTGAAGGGGAAGGGTGCGTCTGTCATTCCGCTTCTTGCCCGGGATCGGGATGGAGGCCATACTCAATGACGTGGTGGCCGTGGAGGACCTGCTGGTGAGAGGGGGACGGGACTGTGACGTCACGTGATTAGTGGGGTACAGCACCATGCGGCTTGTATGGCGCTCGGTAACCCATAGCAACCTATGAGAGTTCGCTCTACTGAGGTCAGGTCAAGATGGCTGCTTATTAGTTGCTATGGGTTACCGTTGTGACAGGATTAGAGGGACGCTGATTTTTTGTGTTTTGGATGTGGGGGAAGGGTTAAACGGGCCCTCAGACTCTTATTACCATGTGTGTCCCCACTGTGGAGATTGTCCCTCACTTCCTGTACAGCTGACACAGCAAAAAGACGTAAACAGATTTAAAAAAAAAACACCCAACAGAGGTTCCGACTCCTCCCCCGCTGTCTGTGTACAACTAGAGAAAATACATCCGTCATGTTTTATTACAGTCTGTGACCCCGCTTGGGAGATTTCACCCCACTTCCTGTCCCTGTGACAGAAGGGCAGGAAATGGGAGTGGTAGCCATTGGGGAAGGAAGGCCTAGAAATTAGGATTGTCACAGGGATAGGAAGACACTGACCAGAATAATGACCTGACAGAGTTCCTTCCATATTGTCCTGATAAATGTGTTTTTATGTTTTACCCCTGTGTCCCCGGTGGAGAGATTTCACCTCACTTCCTGTCCAGTTGACACAACAGGAAGTAAGACTTCACTCGCATACTATCAGACATTCAAGTTTTCGACTTGTAACGGAACATGAACCTTTCCCGAATCCTCCGACCCCTGACCTCGTACCCTCTACCCCCTGTCACATGACCCCAGTTGTCGCACACTCCTCTTCCTGTCGTATGACCCCCAGACGTCGTACCCCGTGTCGTATGACCCCAGACGTCGTACCCCGTGTCGCATGACCCCCAGACGTCGCCCCCCGTGTCGCATGACCCCCAGACGTCGCCCCCCGTGTCGCATGACCCCCAGACGTCGCCCCCCGTGTCGCATGACCCCCAGACGTCGCCCCCCGTGTCGCATGACCCCCAGACGTCGCCCCCCGTGTCGCATGACCCCCAGACGTCGCCCCCCGTGTCGCATGACCCCCAGACGTCGCCCCCCGTGTCGCATGACCCCCAGACGTCGCCCCCCGTGTCGCATGACCCCCAGACGTCGCCCCCCGTGTCGCATGACCCCCAGACGTCGCCCCCCGTGTCGCATGACCCCCAGACGTCGCCCCCCGTGTCGCATGACCCCCAGACGTCGCCCCCCGTGTCGCATGACCCCCAGACGTCGCCCCCCGTGTCGCATGACCCCCAGACGTCGCCCCCCGTGTCGCATGACCCCCAGACGTCGCCCCCCGTGTCGCATGACCCCCAGACGTCGCCCCCCGTGTCGCATGACCCCCAGACGTCGCCCCCCGTGTCGCATGACCCCCAGACGTCGCCCCCCGTGTCGCATGACCCCCAGACGTCGCCCCCCGTGTCGCATGACCCCCAGACGTCGCCCCCCGTGTCGCATGACCCCCAGACGTCGCCCCCCGTGTCGCATGACCCCCAGACGTCGCCCCCCGTGTCGCATGACCCCCAGACGTCGCCCCCCGTGTCGCATGACCCCCAGACGTCGCCCCCCGTGTCGCATGACCCCCAGACGTCGCCCCCCGTGTCGCATGACCCCCAGACGTCGCCCCCCGTGTCGCATGACCCCCAGACGTCGCCCCCCGTGTCGCATGACCCCCAGACGTCGCCCCCCGTCGCATGACCCCCAGACGTCGTACCCCCGTGTCACATGACCTCAGCATGTGCATGATATTGATCAGAGGAGAGAATTTATTGATCACAAATGTGTTTCTGCAATCCTTCTGTGTTGTAATTCCGGGTCGGGTCCACCAGGTGGCGGCAGATGAGCAGTGCCAAGTCCTGTGTGTGTCAGCCGAGCTCTGATCATCCTACAGGACACAGAGGAGTCACAGAGGAGCCCCACACTAGCCCCTCACCCCCCTCCGACCTGCAGGAGGCGCCTCCTGAGGATCCCCACACTGCCCCCTCACCCCCCTCTGACCTGCAGCAGTTTCCCCGGCTCCTGAGGATCCCCACACTGCCCCCTCACCCCCCTCTGACCTGCAGCAGTTTCCCCGGCTCCTGAGGATCCCCACACTGCCCCCTCACCTCCCTCTGACCTGCAGCAGTTTCCCCGGCTCTATATTCCGCCCTCCCTTGTGTGTGGTTGTGGTGCCCTGTGTGTGCCAGCGCTGTGTGTACAGACACTTGTCGGCGTGTTGGGTAAACACTCCTCTCCGGGTCACGGCACTTCCATCTATAAGACGGAGCTCTGCGCCAGGCCGCGATTAAGGTGATCCCCGAGGATAGGGATGTCATGATGCCTGACTCTGGGCTGCAGTCAACAACCACCCCTGCCACTCCCTCTCCCCGCCCCCTTGAGGAAGTCCCATACCATGCCCCATGTGTCGATCCCACGGCCTTCTGTGGTGCAAGTTTTCACTGTCCTTGCTGAGCCTGTAATTACCAATGTGGATGTGTCCTGAGGTCAGAGATGATTGGAGATGGTCCCATAGACTTCTATGGGGCTGTACCCCTGAGGTTGGAGATGACCAGTTATGGTCCTATAGGCTCCTACTTGTGTTGTACCTCCAGGCCAGAGATGATCACACATGGTTCCATAGACTTCTACAGGGATGTGTCCTGAGGTCAGACATTATCGAAGATGGCCACTTAGACCTCTACAGGGATGTGTCCTGAGGTCGGACTTTATCGAAGATGGCCACTTAGACCTCTACAGGGATGTGTCCTGAGGTCGGACTTTATCGAAGATGGCCACTTAGACCTCTACAGGGATGTGTCCTGAGGTCGGACTTTATCGAAGATGGCCACTTAGACCTCTACAGGGATGTGTCCTGAGGTCGGACTTTATCGAAGATGGCCACTTAGACCTCTACAGGGATGTGTCCTGAGGTCGGACTTTATCGAAGATGGCCACTTAGACCTCTACAGGGATGTGTCCTGAGGTCGGACTTTATCGAAGATGGCCACTTAGACCTCTACAGGGATGTGTCCTGAGGTCGGACTTTATCGAAGATGGCCACTTAGACCTCTACAGGGATGTGTCCTGAGGTCGGACTTTATCGAAGATGGCCACTTAGACCTCTACAGGGATGTGTCCTGAGGTCGGACTTTATCGAAGATGGCCACTTAGACCTCTACAGGGATGTGTCCTGAGGTCGGACTTTATCGAAGATGGCCACTTAGACCTCTACAGGGATGTGTCCTGAGGTCGGACTTTATCGAAGATGGCCACTTAGACCTCTACAGGGATGTGTCCTGAGGTCGGACTTTATCGAAGATGGCCACTTAGACCTCTACAGGGATGTGTCCTGAGGTTGGAGATGATCGGAGATGGACACTTAGACCTCCTATAGGGACTGTGTCCTGAGATTGGAGATGATCAGAGATGGCCACTTAGACCTCTATAGGGACTGTGTCCTGAGATTGGAGATGATCGGAGATGGCCACTTAGACCTCTATAGGGACTGTGTTCCGTGGTTGGAGACAATCAGAGATGGCCGTATAGACATCTCCAGGCTGTGTCCTGAGATTGGAGGTGGTCCCATAGACTTCTGTAGGAAATGCATCCTGAGTTTGGAGACATCCAGAGATGGTGCCAAAGTGCACTGTGTTTTAAATGAGTGAAGTGTTTGTCTGACTCCTCCACTGGTTTCATGGGTCACCGGAAGTCTCTGCCTTGGTAACTACCTGACATGCTCCCTCCCAGCCCCTAGGTCTACATAACAGCCTCAGACAATGAAGCCCTTTGGTTGTGTCTATGAAACCAGCCGTGTAACTCTTCTCCATCCACCAGATGCTGGCAGTTCACTTTTGGAGGTAGCGAATCTCCAAACTTTCCCAACACTTGGCCAATGATCAATCCCTCCCAGCCATGTAAATAGTGTCACGTGGGTGGAGATGTCTCTGGATGTCCTCGTCCCACACAGAGACAATGATTCCTGACCTCTGATTCACACGATCCCCGCGGCTCCCTCCCTCCCGGGGTGACTCATTTCTGGTTTCTGTGTGTTTTGGCAGCAAGGAAATGTCTTCTCCTAGTTGGCTTCTTTCTAAAGCCCAGACCCAGGCAAGAGTGGATGGAGTGGCGGAAGAGTCGGAGCCTCTGTCGGGTTCTTAGTGCTGTTTGTATACCCGCTGGAGAGATTCACTCTCACTTCCTGTCAGGATAGGAAGTCATGAGATGACTCTCAATCGGGGACATAGACTGTAGCGTGTTCTTAGGAGAATGCAGTAAATATTCAGAAGGGTATTATTTGCACCTTTTGTGGTAATGATGACACATTGGCACATAGTGGACCCCTTAGGCCTGATTACCATGGGGCAATTTGGGATTCCCAAGTGTCCCGTTTAGATGCAGCTGCTGTCACTCATTCTAGTTAGTGATTCAGAGACAGCGGCTGCATCTGTACGCGATGCTCTGCTACATGTGGATTGGAAGAGATAACTGTTCCTGGATGCATCTATCACGTACCATTGCATGCAGAGTGCCGCTTCAAGATGCTGTCGCCCGATCATTAGCTAGACTTGAGTGACAGCGACCGCATCTAAATGGGAGGAATGCCGCAGGAATCCCAAATGGCCCTGTGGGAATGAAGCCTAAGTATACTGACATGATATCTGATACTCGGCCTTCTAGTCCCTAGCGATCCTGTAGAACCCTAACCTGGAACGTTGTGTCTGTACGGTGACGTCTCCCGGGGAGCTGACCACCATGTTTGTGTCTGTACGGTGACGTCTCCCGGGGAGCTGACCGCCATGTTTGTGTCTGTACAGTGACGTCTCCCGGGGAGCTGACCGCCATGTTTGTGTCTGTCCGGTGACGTTCTCTCCCGGGGAGCTGACCGCCATGTTTGTGTCTGTACGGTGACGTTCTCTCCCGGGGAGCTGACCGCCATGTTTGTGTCTGTATGGTGACGTTCTCTCCCGGGGAGCTGACCGCCATGTTTGTTCTGCAGAAATTTGAGAAGAAGTACCTGGCCGAGGTGTCCTCGGGTTCGCTGAGTAAAAGCACCCAGTTCGAGTACGCCTGGTGTCTGATCCGCAGCAAGTACTCCGCCGACATCCAGAAAGGGGCGGGGCTTCTAGAAGGTGAGCGGGACATTATATGAAGATCTATCGCATCGCCTACAATGCTTTGTACATGTGGTGACACCACCGCTCTGCAGATAGACGATATATTTGATCTTTATTTATGTTTTTTCAGATCTTTTGCCAAAGGGAGGTAAAGACGAGCAGCGGGATTATCTCTTCTACCTGAGTGTAGCTCATTACAGGTTAAAGGTGAGCCGGGGAAGATGAGTTCTTTTGTTCTCTTCCTGATTCGTGTTTTACTACAACGGGGTACATTAGATGCCACTTTCCATGCTCTGGTGTGATCTCCATCTCCCCATCAACAGTCCCCGCACCAGGACATGGAGGCCCAGCATAGAGAAGGGAGCGCTGGGAGAGGTCAGAGTTCTGCTTCAGACGGAGTTCACATCAGGATTTAAATCATATTCCTCCTCTTACATAAGCTCCATCACCACAAGAGACCAATGCTGTGCCAGGAGTAGCCAGAGCACTGTGCAACCGAAGGGAAGGTACACTATAGGGCCAAAGGTTGTGATCACATGACCATCACATATACCTGTATGGCCAAAGGTATTATTATACAGTATTTATATAGCGCCAACAGTTTGTGCAGCGCTTTACAATATAAGGAAGACATTACAATCACAATGCAATTCAAGACAAGATGGTAAGGAGGGCCCGGCCCTGAGGGCTTACAATCTAAAAGGGAGGGGGAAATGAAACATGAGGAGGGAGCTGTGTGGGGATGAATTATTTGAGAATGTGAAGGTTCATTGGTTAGGTCGAGGTGGGATCGGCTTCCCTGAAGAGATGAGTCTTTAGGTCATCACGGTGACAAGGGAGCATGGAGCCTCCTTCCCGGCCAATCAGGAAGCCGGGTGGCGTGTAGTGACTCGCCACCCCTCTTTGCTAATGGGACTATCGGGGAGTACCCAAAAAATATATATATCGGTACTCATATCCGATACTGAAAAGCCGGCATCGGTGCATCCCTAGTCTCCCATATTACAGAACAAGTCCAGCTGAATGTGGCTACTACTAGCTATACACCTACGTCCAGAGCAGTCACGCATGTCTGTGCCATGGTAATTCTGTACACCATCCATGCAGGCCACCGGCATGTCTAGGATTAGCCTGACATTCATTGAAACGTATATTAATGCCACATGGTGAAGCGATATCGGGGGTTGGGTTCCAATATCTTCTGGGTCCTACTGGAAGTTCTGTAAGGCCATTCTTGGCGTAACTTCTCCCTATCTCTGCCCACCAGGAATACGAGAAAGCTCTGAAGTACGTCCGCACGCTTCTCCAGAAAGAACCCAAGAACACGCAGGCCCAGGACCTGGAGAAGGTCATCGAGAAGAAGATGCAGAAAGGTGAGCAGGGTGACGCATTATGGGCAGGCATGGAGTTCTGATATTACATGGATGGGTCAGAGGTCACTGGACACTGGCAATTGCTTCTAATGCCAACCTCTGATCCTCATGGCCCAGCATCCCCCATCTCCAGTGTTCATATCAGCTTCATATAACAGATGATTGTCATTAACGGAGAACTATGGGGTCAGGGCTTTTCCCCATAGTTCTCCTTAGGGTAACGGGAGGACACAAACTAGCGTCCTCCCGTCACCCTAGGCTCAGTATATAGGGAGCCACAGCTCGCAGTATACTGAGACGCTGTTTCATTGTCACAGGTCGGCTAGAACTATGAGGTGAGTGAAAAGCCTTCACCTCATAGTTCTCCTTTTAAAGTGATTGATAACCCTGATATTAATGTTCTGCACTCCTTTAGTACTGAGCTCTGTTGTACACGGTGCTTCTTCTTCACTCTCATTTAGTAGCCAATACCTGGTGATCCCGCCAGTTCCCCTCTTCTCCTGGCCCAATCTGACCACACGGAGGCGGAGCTACAGGAACCTGGGACCATGCACCGTGAGCTGGTTGCTCTACTTTGTCAGCTGTACTCTACTTGATTGACCACAGCATCCCCCCCCCCCCCCTCAAACACTTACCCCAAAGGAAGTAGGCCGTGCGGTCACATGATATCACGTAGGTAGAGTCCATAGCCCCATGAAAGCTATGACCTGAGTGAAGGGAAAGGAGAGTATATGACTCTGGGCAGGGAGGTTGAAGGGAACCTTTGCTGTGCTCGGTGTGAACACATATGGGTTCTCCAGCAGCTCATCGGGTCATTGTCTGCACCTGCTGGTTCTGTAAAGGACTGAATCCTGAGGAAATGAATGTGTTGCAGAGATGTGTTGAATATGTTTCTCTCCTATTTTCTCCTGCCATTCGGTTCGAATATTTATTCACATTCCCTGAAATACAGATGACCACTAGAGGGAGCGCCTACAATTCTGAATGCTAGAATATGATATATACACCGATCAGCCATAACATTATCACCACCCCGCCTAATACTGAGGTCCCCCTTCTGACCCGCCCAGGCATGGACTCCACTAGACCTCTGAAGGTGCGCTGTGGTATCTGGCACCAAGCAGTCAGTAGCAGATACCATAAATCCTGTAGGTTGTGAGGTGATCGGCCTCCATGGATCAGACTGGTTTTCCAGAACATCCCACAGATGATCGATTTGGACTGAGATCGGGAGAATTTGGAGGCCGAGTCATCACCTCAAACTTGTTGTGTTCCTCAAACCATTCTTCATCCATGTTTGCAGTGTGGCAGGGCGCATTATCCTGCTGAAAGAGACCACTGCCATCAGGGAATACCAGCGGGGGGGGGGGGGCGGCTTGGTCAGTGACAATGTTCAGGTCGGTGGTACGTGTCACAGTGACATCCACATGAATGGGTGGAATCGAGGTGTCCCAGCAGAACAAAGCATGTGACAACCCGCCGGGTTGTCTTCTTCCCATAGTACATCCTGGTGCCGTCTCTTTCTCAGGTAAGCGACATGCGCACCCGGCCATCCACGTGATGTACAGCAGACTAGAGCTGCAGCTAACGATTATTTTCAAAATCGATTAGTTAGCCGATTATTAAGTTCGGTTAATCGGATAAACACAAAAAAAAAAATCAAAAATGGCTCCAGTGATGGGACTACTAGTTTGTATTGAGATTGTAGTCCATCACAGGAGCAAGCTTGGAGCGGTGGTTGTGTGGAGCCGTGAACAGGGCCAACTGATCGGAAGCCGATTAATCGATTATTGAAAAAGTTGACAACTTTTTCAATAATCGATTATAATCGATTATGTCGATTAGTTGTTGCAGCCCTACAGCAGACCAGGCCACCTTCCATTGCTCTGTGTTCCAGTTCTGATGCTCACGTGCCCATCGTAGGTGCTTTTGGCACTGGTCAGCATGGGCACCTTGACTGGTCTGTGGCTACACAGCCCCATGGCTTTCCCTCCTCCTGTCCATCAATGAGCCTTGGCCACCCATGACCCAGTCACCAGTGCACTGGTTTTTCTTCCTTGGACCACTTTTTTGCTCGGTCCTGACCACTGCAGACTGAGAACATCCCACAAGAGCTGCAGTTTTGGAGTTGCTCTGACCCTGTCGTCTAGACGTCACAATTTGGTCCCTCAAATCCTCACACTGGTCCATTGTTTCTGCTTCCAACACATCAACCTCAGGGACAAAATGTTCACTTGTTGCCTAATATACCCCTCCCCCACTTCCAGGTGTCATTGTAAGCAGATAATGCTATTTACTTCACCTCTCAGAGGTCAGAATGTTATGGCTGATCGGTGTATGTGAGACTCGGCAGCAGGGTGTATGACCTCTGCAGAGAGGCCGCTGCTTCCTCTGCATTTAGAATGTTTTTTGTTAAGTTGAACGTTCATTTAATGTACTCACACAAGTCTCCTCCTCTTCCAGATGGGCTCGTCGGCATGGCCATCGTCGGCGGCATAGCGGTCGGAGTGGCGGGCCTCGCCGGCCTCATCGGTCTGGCCGTCGCCAAGTCTAAATAAAACGTAGCCAGCCAAGGCCTTGTTTTCTGTTAACCGTAGTAACCAACCTCTTGTAACCACACGATTCAGTGACGACCACGTCATCCACTTGTTGAGTCCAGAGAAGATTGTAGAGGCGGAGTCAGATCCTCATCCAAAAAACAGCAAAATCTCCAAACCCTTCCATAATTCTGCAGCGTTAACCTGCCGATCACTGTGATCCTCAGACGATCCTCGTCACGCACCGCCACCGTCCTCTATTCATAACGTGCCGTAAAACATTTTTTTTCTTACATATGGATCTTCCAGGAAATGTCCACCAAATGATTTTTTTGCTTGATTTAAAACGTTTTGATTAACTGAGAAATGTTTTCTAATATACTCGCTCTGTCAATTCTATAATTATAGTTATTTATCTCTTCCCGGTCGTGCCCCCAAGTCTTTTGTCAGTGGGCGGAGCTTTTCATAGCGCAGGTCATTTAGGACCGTACACTCCCTCCTTAAAGCAAGACCCGTCCTCAGATATATTAGTTCACGTTAAAAGAGAACTATGGCCCAAACTTTTTTTGCCCATAGTTCTCTTCACGGTCACAAGAGGACATCTACGAATGCCCTCCGGTGACCCTAAACTCAGTATATAGCGGGCTGTTGCCCGCTATATGCTGAGAGCGCAGAGCTGCGCTGCAGCTGGGATGGATCCCGACAATACTATCGGAATCCACCACGCTGGCTGATTGACAGTTTGCTCTGCCCGCCCCCCTCCCCCGTCCGTTCCTCCAGTCAGTGCTGGAGGATCGAAGAGGGGACGGGGGGGGGGAATCCCTGCAGGGAGTGATGACTGACGGTCACCGCTCACTGCAGGGAGAGGATTGGAAAGTCAGTGATTGTGGTGCGTGTTCGCTGAGTTCCAGATCGCTAGAGCCGACCAGTGACAGCTGAGGAAATGCCTGCAGCAGACTGATGACATCATCCTAGCCAAGGCAATGTGTTGGGTTGATTTTTTTTTTTTTTCGGTGGAACTTTTCTAAACAAATATACATTTCCTGGGTCTGGGTCTTGTCACCATACTGCAGGTCAGCTCCGCCCCTCTATCCCACAGGACAACCCCTGTCTAATAATAATTTCCCCCCCCCCCCCCCCCCTCTCTATGGATGTTCTGCTTTTGTCCTCGCTCTGGACTTCCTTGTCTAGATTTAGTTTTTCTACTCTGTGTTCCAGCATGTCTCTGCATTGCTACAAAACCAAGGCATCCCGGGAGTAGGAGGGATTATCCCGGACTGGTCCACAGCTTTTCCTGTTTGCCGTTGTCCAAACCTCCTGCAGGTGGCAGTATAACCTGAAGGTTAAAGACTTTTGGTGTCCCTCAATAGTTTCCAAAAAAAGGGGTTTTACAAGGAGTACAAAAATTCTATTTTATTGTGGACGAGGGGTGGTGGGGGGATGGAGGGATGAGATGGGATCATATTTGGCTACTTGGATGAAGAGTACAAAAATTCTAGTTCATTGGGGATTGAGCGATTTGAGGTGGGATACTGTTTGGATACTTGGAGTTGGGCTTTATCTAAAGCAGGGGTAGCCAAACTCCGGCCCTCCAGCTGTGGTGAAAATACAAATCCCATGATGCATCTCTCTCTGGGAGTCGTGGCTGTGAGAATCTCGCAATGCCTCATGGGATTTGTAGTTCCACCACAGCTGGAGGGCCGGAGTTTGGCTACCCCTGATCTAAAGGGTTCATTACTTTCCGAGTCCCTGACACTGAACAGACAGGTCAAGAATTCTGATGTTCCTTTGACTTGATGAACTGCTTGTTTGTTCCATGTCAGGGACTCGCATCGCTGGGGTCAAAGGCAGACATAGAACTTCCAGCAATAGGCCGCCAAACGCAGCGCCGGTATGTCTTTTATGCCGGCGTTACATCTTTTATTCATTGGCTCGGAGGACACATGGGCATTGTTGTGCTGACACATGGGCATTGTTGTGCTCTTCCTGGTAACGTTAGACCGCGATTCATTATCGGGGCCCCCGCCGTAATCACCCTCTATTTGTCCTCCTGATCGGCGCTGAAGCTGTAGTCACGTAACGTGTGCGAGGATGGAGACAACACGGAACCCGGGATCAATATTTGGAGGCGTGTTGTGTCTGAGGTCGTCAAGGTTCGGCTTCATTGTGCTGAGAGACAATGAGGGCGATCGCAGCCAAAATGACCTCACTAAGCAAACAAGAATTTTTTCACGGTGAGGTAATTTTGGCTGCAGAGTTGATGAACGGAAGGTGATGAGGACTACCGTAGTGTCTTCTCTACCAGATTGCTCCAACCAGAAGTCCCACATCGTACAAGTCGCAGATGAAGGTTTATGTTCAAATAAGCTCAATACATTCCCGGCGCCTCAAAACAAAACGCGTGCAAAGTCTTCCAGTTCACTTTTCTAGAAAGCAGCCACAGCTTGAGTTGCAAAGTGTCGCCTGCCAGCATGTCGTCGAATCCTTGCCATTTGTGTGGAAGCAGTGGTCACTCTACAGGGATCTGATACTCCTCAGACACAGCTAGAGCTCTGCAATCGGCAAAGTTCACGCTCCCTACTGATTGGAGAGGTCTTGACTGAGCAGGAAGTGTGTGAGACCTCTGTAGAGGGATCACTGCTTCCACACAAAGAGCAAGGGTCTGTCTCTACGGCATGCTGGCAGGGGACAGGCCTTTCTCCAGGCTGTGGCTTGTGATGCATCTAGTCCTCACTTAAAGGAGAACTATGAGGTGAGTGGAAATCACTCAGCCTCCTAGTTCGAGCCGACGTGTGACAATTAAACTGTCACACGTCGGCTCAATAGATCGGGACGTGAGTGAACACATACTGTCCGCTCACTTCTCGATCATGTCCCTGCAGAAAGCTGTGTCTGTCACTCACGGCTCTCTGCAGGGATTCTCCCCACGCCGATCCTCCAGCGCTGACTGGCGGAGGGGGCGGTTACAGCTGGCTCTGCCACTAGATAGGCAGGGCCAGCTGGGTCGTTCCAGACAGTAATGTTGGGATCCGTCCTGGCTGCGGCGGCCTCGGTATACCGCGAGCTGTAGACCGCTATATAATGAGCTTTGGGTCCCGGGAGGAGGTTAGTTTATGTCCCTTATCGTAAGGTGTGTGGAAGCCGTGCGACCTCTACTACTGTAAGGTCGCACGACTTTAAACTTACGGACATGTTCGAAAACCCGCCGAGCATCGTATGATGTTCGGCGGGTTTGTGGCATGTCCGTACGATAACAGCCGTACAGACCGGTGTGCGCAATCGCACACTGCCCGTTCGGCATTGCGGTCATCGGAAGCCGATCATCGCAAGTACGATCTGCCTGTCCAAGATAGACAGATCGTACGTTTTTTTTTAACTACCTTACAACCATCGCAAGACAAGTCTAGCGATGGTTGTAAGGTGTGTGCCCAGCCTATGGAGAACTACACTTACCTCCATAGTTCTCCTTTTTAAAGACCGAGTTCCTTTCCTACGACTAGGTCGTTAAACGAGGAACTGTAAATGGCACTGTAGTGTTGGAGATGTAAATACAGTACTTACCGGGAATAGTAGAGAACGGGGTACAGTACTGTATGCAAGATGAAGACGGTGAGACGCCGCACTGCCACGTACCGTCGGAGAGCTGGTTGTAAGTACGAGTGGCCGCTATACAGGTGGGTTGTTAAGTGAGGAATGGCTGTACTAAGTTCTGTATACTTCAGATGTCTGGATCACACAGCAGATGGGATGTGTCTACTCCACCTCCTGTACATGATCGCATTGTCATGTGTGGTATCAAAGTGACGGTTATTCTCTTCTGCATGTGTACAACCAATAATGTGATTTTTATCACACCAGGAGTTATGAAATATGACTGATATTGGCCAATTGGAGGGTCTGATCGGGCCATCTTCTGGTCAAGTGACACCGGATGTAAATGGATCAAGCCCTGGGCTACAATCCCCCAATAAGCCAACCGTGGAAACACCATACTGGGGGGAATGTTTTAACAATAGGTTTGATATGCTTAATGACCAATGCTCTGGTTAAGGTGCTGATGCGTACTGTTTAGGTCACCGCTAAGGTCTTAACGGCACTGCTACTGGGGCCTAATAGAAGTCTTTTGAAGTGTAATAGAAGGTCTCTGCTAAAGGGGTCAGGAGCCCAGTGATGTGCAATGTGATACAAAAGATTTAGGAATCAGATCGAGTGATGCAAACTTGCAATTTTTCAAGATTGTGCCTCATTCGCTGCTTGATTGGGGGGCTTCTCAGACCTTTATTATTTTCCCAATAAGCTCTGGAATTTGCTGAGATAGTTCTAGACTGTTCTCGAACTCCCCAATGGCTCATCAACCAGCACAGATCAGTCCAGTGCTGCCACCCTTTCATCCCCATCTTCTGAAACACTAAGTGCTCCATCGGGGATGTGTGAAATGAGGACACCACGCGTCAACTAGTTAAATCCCAACCCCAAGCTCACCTCTTCCACCGCCCACTCAACTCCCACTTCTGTTAGGCTTCCTGGCCGTGCTTTACACTTTCCCTCTATATCTACCTTTTGGGTTGTGCAGGGTCCTCTATCTCAGCAGCTCTTCATCTGGTGGTGGGCAGGTGTCAATGATGCAGCGATGCTGGAGACGGCACCAGAAAGGAAGCTAGTATTGCAGCCTGAGCTTCATTTTGCTTATTTTTACGGCTCCTGGGGCATCATTAGGAAAAGGTTATCCTGGAGTCGGGCTTTACGATTTCATCAGCCGTTAAAAATATTGGTAGATGCACTCCCCCCTTCTTTGTAAAGCACAAGAATACTTACCTGGCCCCTTCAGGCTTCCTCTCCACTGGCCAACTGGTCCCACCAAGCTGCTTCTGAGTGTTGATCAATCATCAATACATTCAATGCAAATGCTGCAGTCCTACGTTATACATGAGGGTGTTGAGGGCCCATCTGTATTCCAAGGCTTGAGTGGAGATTAGAAATGGGCTAGCTGCCGGGTAAGCAAGGAGTAGGGTACGTAGTGGTCTTCTTTACCTCCGCATTGGTCTCCTTTGCCTCCCCTCATTAGCAATTTGTGTTACCAAGCAATTGAACAGGCGTACCTAATAAAATGGCCGGTGAGTGTATCTGCATATACTGTAACTACGTGCCCGGTTATTTGAAGTCAGCGAGAGGTCAATTTACATTATACGTGGCTTGTTTGTAATTCAGGAATGCACTTTCACCAAAATGACATAGAAAGCTCCGCTTCCCTTAAAGGTTCCTCTTAGTATTCAAACCCAACCTTTA